TCATATTTTTATAGAACAAGAGTCAAATATTTTCTTCAGGAAGCATTTCTTGCAGTTCATCTTCTGCGCATTCTGAAATCTTGGGGAAGAGAGAAAGGGCAGAGCTTTTCTGCCCTTAGCTGGCTGCTTAGCTGGACATTTTCAGCGAAACCTCCCAATAAGCACTGAAAGCTGCATGCACTACAGAGCCTTCATTTTGAGAAATGAATGATCACTTCCCTTAGGTGGGGATGGAAGAAGTTATGAAGGATGATTCCAAAGATACTGGTACAAAAGAGACCTTCTGTAGCATTGATGGGCCATGCCAGAAAAGAGTTGAAGGAGTAGTGTAAGAAGGTCTGAGAGCTTACAGCTTCATAGTCCTCGTAGATTTCTACAGCATTTATAAAGTTTGGATATTGGCCACATTCATCTCATGTGTTTAACTAGAGAAAATGTTTGAAAAAGGCTCTCATAGAATTTAATCTTCTTTCTTCTGTTTTTCATCCACAAATAGGAGACCAATCTCCAACACACATCTCATTGGGAAGGAAATAAACTGGTGTCTCCCATCTCTCAGATTAGCTCCTTGGCTGCAGGCTTCTCTGGAAGTGGAGTGTTCTCACTTCAGGACTGTTGAGCAACACCCCTCACTGAAAACTTTTCTCCTCTTTGCCCTCAGAGTCCTGCACTCCTCTCTGAGTCATAGCACTACTTCAAAAGGAAAGGTGGTGAGGAATGTACACATTCTCCAGGATATTACTGCAAGGCAAAAGAAGATAATTTGAAACCCCTGAGACTACAAAACGTGTTGAACACAGATCTCAAACTTCCTGAGCAAGTGCTCTAACCACAGGACTCCTAAGTAAGTGGTCAACACTTCTGAGCTCTTAAAGAAAAGCATGGAACAGTCCCTCACTCTCAAAGCACTGAAGATAAAGCAGAGTTTCTGCAGCTGTGAATCACACCTTCCTCACATATTGAACTCAGAACTGCAACCAAGCACCAAAATCAGAGAGACAGAGAACAATTCATACACTCCTCAAATGGCTGAAGTTTCCTTCCAAACAGCACACTGGGCATTATGAATCCAGCTTGTGAGCCCTGAGAACCCTGAGTCTATGTCGTGCTACTTATTCTATGAAGAGCTGAATGTCTAACTTGGGTTTGTGAATCACATTCCCAAATGCAAGCCTGACGAAAGTATCTCTGAAGAGCTGGGCAAAAGTATTGCATTTCAAAAGGAAGATGTCAAGTAATTTTTTACAGTAGTCTTAACCAGAACATGACTGGGCACCCCTTGAAAGGGAGTGGTACCGTTACAAACTCACTATCCAAAAAGATGTATCAGTCAGAATCTCCGCTTCAGCTGAATGTGGCTAAAAGTGGGCCAACAGTTAATGCTCTCCTTATCTGCTACAGGTACCTTTTAGACCATGCAGACTAATGCTCTATCACTAGGCAAGACCTAAGGCTAGAACCCTGACAAATTAGGTATAGCTGATAAACAAACAAACAAACAAACAAACAAACAAACAAACAAACAAACATAATTATTTTTTTTCCAAGGGCTTTTCAGTCAATATGAATTCCCCATTCAGAACTTTTATTACAGAAAAGAGCCTTGTCCCTTGGTTATGCAAATCTCCCTCTCACCACCTCTCATGTATCAGTTCTACCTTTCTATAAATGCCTGACCTGTGCATGACTGCTAGAAAATGATTCCTGATCCTGCAGCTGAACTCACACAAGAAGCATTTCCCTCCAAGAGAGAAATGCAGTTCAGTGTTTTGTTGGTATAACCAAACTGGGTAAGACCCAGTCTTTCCCAGCATAGCAAATCAGCTGCCTGAAGACCTGGGGTTTTTCCCATTTAGCTGATGTCATCCAAGAAGTAATGCAATCCAATTAGAAAAAAAAAAAAAAAAAAAAAAAAAAGAAAAAAAATCAACCCAAAGTGTGAGCCAGCTTAACGTTTCCATGAGGTGGATATACTGACAAAGCTGTATCAAGAGACTCTTCTAGTCCAAGCCCCAGTGCAGGCGGGTGGGCTTTCCACTGCTGTCGCTAGATTACTGCAAACACCAGGCTTCATTTGTTCATGCTTTATTTGGATTTTTTGACACTATTTAAGCACCTATCAACATGGTTTAACTTTACAGCTGCACTGCCTGTTGGACACAGCCAGTCGAAACTGAGCATGCACAACCCTTGGTTCTACTACTTGTATTTGAAATTTTTTTTTTCTGTGATACTCCCTGTATTTTCACATTCTTTGGAATATCTTGTGCAGTTCTGTACTGTGCCTAAATTAAATTAATGACAAAAAAACAAGGGACTTGCAGAGTAACGTTGTGCTGAGGCAGTCTTTTTTTTTTTTGCAGTCTCCATTGCCCTCATCTTGTGAACACCAGTAACTTTACACACATCCACGGTCCCCCTGAATAGATCCCACACGGCTTTGCCGGTAACTCTAACGTTAGATGCTAACAACAGGAACGCTCTGCACACAAAATCTAGGGTCCTGTTGGGAGGAGGAGTCCCATTTGGGGGCCTAGATTTTTGTTGCCCTTGGAATGATCATCTGGCCACAGAGGCTAGAGAATTAACAGCTTCTGTCTTTGCATAGAAAATACCGGTTGTTGCTTCCCTCACGCTCAGGGAATGAGCAGGATGTCCCAAAGATAGTGGTGAGGGTGGCAGTGAAACCCCTGGCATGGATTCACGTTTAAGCCCTAGCACTCAGGGCAGACACCAAAAGAAGGCGAGAGGCTGGTGAGTTCAGAGGGCGTCAGGTTAGGAGACACGGGAGCGGAACCCCATGCGATGGTATTTTCAACTCCGTTCATGAAGTGCTATGGAATTACAGCAACCTAAGGGATTACTTTGGAATACTGAAGAAAGGCACTTCTTCCAGCAATAAATTCTGTCCCCAAATATTATCACATAAGTACTGACGAGTTTGGAGGGCAATCTGTGAAAAATATTATACGCCCACGTACACAGTGATTGAAGCAGAATATGCCTGCTGAAGCTGAGAGTGGTATTTCACCATTTAGGAAGCTTTTTCATTAGTCAACTGTCTTTCAATAGCTACACTCCATATTTGCTACCTTAAATGTTGCTTTTAAAAAAAAAAAAAAAAAAAAAAAAAAAGAAGGAAAAAGCAGCATAGATTCTTATCTCCTTTTCCAAGCAGGCTATGTCAAAATCAGAGTCCTTATTGTCTAGTTTAAGGAACAGTTTCACATCTACATGTGGGGAAATGCAACTCAGGAAAAAGTAGGATTTGAAAGAAACCACGAGTAAAAACTAAAGGAAATGACTGCTTTTGCTGGACACAAAATTGGGCCCCTGATCCTTCCATTTCATATATAACCCTGAAATTGTACAAAGCATTTGCTTGTATACTTATGGGAGTTTTGCAGGACTCAGTCCAACGTTTCTATGTAACTATCTTCTCTAAACTTGTTTTTAATTAATCTATTACATATCCTAACTTCTAAAGAATGGGATTTAGGAAAACACTGGGCAGCAGCCTTACTTTATTCCTATTAAGTCAACGGTAAAACTCCCCTTAATTCCACTGGGAGCAGAATTAGGCCCATGCCAAGCCCATTTTCAAAATCACATCTTTACAGCTTACGCAACGCCTTCTCCCTGCCCTTGTTTAAAGCACTGACTTCCCTCTACCGGTTTTTCGTTTTTTTTTTTTTTTTTTTTTTTTTTTTTAATTCCTTTGCAAAACGAAGTCATGTAAATGCACAAACAAACCCACCTTAGCATTGTAACTTCTGGGAACAACACACCTCTCTGTTTTCTTTCTGACTCTGCGGTTCACATTTTGGAGGAAACGCTTAAGTTTACGGTGCTGAACCGCTGTGAGCGCCTAGGTAAGCTCCAAGTCCGTGCCAAAAAAGTTGGATATAAACCTCTGGGTGTTGGCTGGATTCCCTTTCCCGGTTAAACTGCCCCAGCGTTTTACCGAGTCTCCCTGCTTCTCGCATCCCCGCCGCTCACTGCGCTGCGCTGTAACACGAGCGAAATAATAAACCGGCATCTTTTTTTTTTTTTTTTTGAAACTTTTCCCCTGACGGAAGGCTTTGGGGAGCTGGAGGCAGCCATCTGACCCGCTCTCAGGCACAGCGCTTCCCTGTGCCAACACGTGGGTTTTTTTTTTTTTTTATTTTTTTTTATTCATTTGCACTAGCGTAGGCGAAAAGTCGAACTTTCACACTCACACAGACACGTTGCCCCCACTTCCTTGCAAACGGTGGACCCTTTACCTGCGGGGGAAAAAAAAAAAAAAAAAAAAAAAATTAAATAAACCCCCCGTTTTTCTCACGCAGAGCACGGCTCCGCCTAGACCCGCGGGCGGGGAACTGCACCCGGCCCCGATCCGCCGCTCGCGGCGTGGGCGCTCCACCAACACCCCCCCCCCCCCAGTCTCGCGTCGCCCCTAGCTGCGCGCACGTGTGAGGGCGGGGCACACGCGTGTGCACGTGCGTCCGCGAGCCTGCCAAGCCACCGCGCGCACCGCCCCGGGGGCACACGCGTGGCTGCGCGCCTGCCGCTGCGCGCTGCGTGGGGGGGGGGGGGGGGGGGGGAGGAACCGGGGGGAGGAGGCATGCGTGTGCGCGCGTGGGTGGGTATGTGGGTGTGCGCGCGCAAGGGTGCACGTGGGTGCGCGTGTGCGCGCGTGCCTTGCCCGCCGGCACGTGCCGGTGCCGCGCGCCCCTCCTCGGGCCGCCGCCGACACGCGGGGGCCGAAGCGGCCGCCCCCCCCCCCCCCCCCCGCACGCGACCCCACACCGCGGGTGGGGAGCGGCCGCCCGGGAAGCCCGTCCCGGGGCCTCCCCCCGGGGACCCCGCCGGGGCCCGGCACCGCGGAAGGGGCGGTGGAGCGGCGGAGCCCGCCCCCCGCCCCCGCCCCGCCCCCCCCGCCATTGGGCCGGCGGCGGCCCCGGCCCGCCCCGCCCCGCCCCCGCCGGCCCGGCAGTTCCGCGCGGGCGGAGCGGGGAGCGGCACCCGCGGCGCTCGGCGGCCCGGCAGCATGGGCTGGAGCTGACAGCGCCCGCCCCGCACACGCCGAGCGCTGCCGGCGGGGAAGGGGAAAAGTTGCCGCGGCCGCCCGGGGAAACTTTTCTGCCGCCGAGGCGGGGAAAGGGAGGGGGCGGCGGAGCCGAGCCGAGCCGTCCGGTGCGGTGCGGTCCCTGCGCCGCGCTGCGCTGAGGCGGCGCGGGGGCCATGCCCGCCGCCAGCCTGCTGCCGCTCTTCGGTAGCGCGGCGGGGCCGGGGGCGCTGGGCGGCCCCGCGGGCGGCGGCGCGGGCGGCGGGGCCAGGAAGGCGGCGGGCCCCGGCGCGTTCCGGCTGACGGAGAAGTTCGTGCTGCTGCTGGTGTTCAGCGCCTTCATCACCCTCTGCTTCGGGGCCATCTTCTTCCTGCCCGACTCCTCCAAGCTCCTCAGCGGCGTCTTCTTCCACTCGGCCGCCCTGCAGCCGCCGCCGCCGCCGCCCGGCGGGCAGCCCCGCGCCCCTCCGCAGCCCGGGGGCGGCCCGGCGGCCGGGGCGGCGGCGGCGGCGGCCGCGGGCGGGGCGGGCAGCCTGGAGCGGATCCGTGCGGACCACGAGCGGGCTCTGCGAGAGGCCAAGGAGACGCTGCAGAAGCTGCCCGAGGAGATCCGCAGGGACATCCGCCAGGACAAGGAGAAACTTCTGCAGGACGCCCGCGGCAGGAAGGAGGCGGGCGCCGACGGGCTGCCCCAGCGCCTCTTCCGCCAGCCCGTCGGCGCCGTGGGGCAGGAGCCCGCCGACCCCGCCGTCCGGCAGCGGAGAGCCAAAATCAAAGAGGTGGGTAACGGCGGCCGCTCCCCGGGACGCGCCTCGGCACCCCCGCGCCACGGCAACAGGTCGCTGGCGGCTGGGGGGGGGGTGTGGGGGGGGTGTGGGGGGGGAAGCCCTGAGCCCTCCCGCCGCCTGCGGGAGCGGAGCGGGGCGGGGGGTGTCTGCGTGTCTTTCTAGCCGGCTCTCGCTCGGCAGCCGCCGCGCAAGTCGGCGCGGTCGCCCGCGGTTGCACCCTCGCAGCCCGCCGTGCGTCCTGCGCGGCTGCGGAGCCGGCACCGCCGGTGGCCGGGCGCGCTCCGTGCTGGCCGCGCCTCCTTCCCCCCGCCGCCCTCCACCCGCGACGTTATCGGCCTTCCCCGGCTGTCGCAACCGAAACACGGGGAGGAAGCGAAGCCCGGCTCCCGGGCTGCGGGCAGCCTCCGGGCGAGGGCCGGGGGCAGCGGCGCCGACAAGGAGAGGGGCGACTCCCGCGAGCCCTATCGCGACACGGGGCCGCCAGCCCGCCCCGCCGCCCCCACCCCCCCCGGGCGCGGCCGCCGGTGGGCGAGCGGTGCCCCCCCATGGGGCGCGGGAGCCGTTGCCCCACGGGTGGGCGCGGCGGCGTCGCCCCACGCTGGCCCGCGGTCACGCGCGAGGTGCGGGGCCGCGCCTCGGCGCTGTCGCGATCTGCCTCGGCGTCGCGCGGTTCGGCTGTCCTGAAGTGTTGAGGGTGTTTGGCGAAATAAGAGTCAGTTCGGGGCCACAGCGGCGGAGCGTCTGAGCTGTACGTGTTTTGACACATTCCCCGAACTGTCCTGTTCGTTCGTGCGGCTTGGTTTGGTTGGTTCCGGTACCGGTTTTGAAATCTTTCCTTACAGGAATTCGCCAAACTGTGTGTGTAGGGAAGGCTGTCGTGAGCGGAGCATGACAGAGTCCTCTGATAGAAGAAGAATTTCCTTGGTCATACAGTTCAACTTCCCGTCATTACTGGCCGGTTTGTTCATCGAACTGACAATTTCAGCTGCCTGCAGAGATTAGGGTTTATAAATTAATTAGTAGTATGGGTTTCCTGTTCTGTGGGGATGGAAATGAGATAGGAATAAGACTGTAGCTGCTGAGTGTTTCAGTGTTTGTGAAACCTCATTAGCTATATTTGGACTGATTTATTGTGTGTTTGTGCAGAGCGGTCTGAAAAGTGAGCCCTGACATCGCGGGGAGCACCAGATAATAAGCTCTCACAAATCTCAACTTGTGTACTGTGCTCTGGAGTCCTTGCATCAGTTTAACTATTTTAGCAAATAGTGCAGCAGTCATAAGCAGTAAATACCAGTGCAAAGGTATTTTGAAGGGACAAACTCTCAGGAGTGCACGGTATAGACCATACCTTGAAGTGTGCAGAGACTGTGTTGTTTTCTGGTTTAGTCACACAGCCCTCCTGAGGCATGTGGAACAATATGAAATAGCAGCAAACACTTTTTCCAGTTATCTTGAATGGCCATGTAGAAGTATTTAGAAGTAATGAGGCTCCAGACCTGATGTACGCGATTCTGTAGTATAGAAGACTGTAACAAGTAAGTAAGCAGGAGGAAGAAGATAAAACTTAAATATACTTTTGCTTCTGCTTTTGCTGGTCCCGCTCTATGCCAGCTAGTTCAGGTTACCTTCTTTTACATATGGATACAGGTGTGTATGTGTGTGTATGTTTGTGTGTATGTGTATGGATGCATGCATACTTACCCCAGTAGCTCTTAAATTTCTCTTCCTCCCTTTCCATTCCATCGCCCTTCTTTCTCCTCCACTTCTACACAGGAGCCACCAACAACACAGTGGCCCCCCAAACCAGATTGGTGGCTGCGTAAGCACAGGAGATGACAGAGGGACTGCACTTAGTTTCCAGATCATTATTTTCATTTATATCTCAGTATCTAATTCATCAATACTGTGTGTTGTCTCTGGGAGTTTCCTTTCCTCCACATTCAGTATGTGATATTAACATGTTGTTTACTTAAGTGCTCTGGCATTTTTCAGTACTTTCTTGACCGGTTTGATTTGCCTTTTTTAAAGAATATTTTTTTTCATTGACTGTAGGATAGTGTTTCCTATTCTGTGTTAACTTGCTTTATGTTGTTTCATGTCTTGGCCTTTATGTTGCTTTTCTCTCAGTCTTTGCAAGCTCCTGTCTACTTTATGTTGAAACTTCACTGTCAAGCTGGAATTCTCATCTGCAGTCTTTTTAGAAATAGTTTTAAATTGAAGCTTTTTAAAGTATGAACTTTTGTACTACATTGTACATACACAGAAACTGGAATTACCCCTTAAAACTCCCGTCCTTGTGCCTGGTGGTTGCAAGTTGGAGGTACAAACATAAAGAATCTTTCTGCTTTCATACTCCTGGAATTTGCGTCTGCATTGTGTGATGTATGTTGTGTACCTAGAACTCAAAATTTGAAACTATTCCTGTGGTTATTTTTGACAGAAGGAAGCAAGCTACTTTAAAGGACAAAAAAGCCAAAAAATTAAGGTGATTCTTCCCTGCGTTTCTGTCCTGAAAGAGCTCTGTCTCATCAACACACTGACATAAAGCTGAGAGGGGAGAGAGCTTAGAGATGTTTTATTCATTTACTGTTTTAAATCTTAAGTTGAAATAAGTGTTTAGAAGTCTAGCTGGTACAATATGGTTTGTGATTACAAACCAATAAAATGCTGTGACTTTTTAGCATTTCTTAAAAAGTTCTGTTATAGAAATTTCAACCATTTTCTCTATGGCATAGTATTTTGTTTTAAAAAAAAAAAAAAAAAGTGAACCTTAAAAAAGGTGGGAATATACAGATTCTTGAAACTTTTTTAGCATTGAAACTGACACAATATGACAAATAACTAGAAAAATAAGCTGCTAGAAGCAAGTAGATGACTTGTGGAGATGGCGTTGCTGTCCCTGCCTTCCCTGGGTCAGAACGATAGGGTTGCTCTCGAGGTCTGTGTGTGGTAACGGGTGGGTGCTGCAGTATTCCCCTGTTTCTCTGCTGATGGTGAGTTACAGGTACTGCTGAATTTTTTACTGGCTGGCCTGATGTTGCCTGCTTTGAGCATCTTCCTCATGCCGGATGCTTCAGGAAAACTTGAGCAAAAAGGCACAGCTGCTTTTAAGCATACTTGTATTTTGTCAGAACTTGAATTCTTCAGGCAGTTCCACTGACGTGCTGTTGTCTCCATGACTTGGGGCACGGTCTGGGTACCTAATACACCTCACACTGGTCTCTGTTTTGGTGTGCTGATAGGAGCCCCAGACTGTGAATGAGGAGGTTGTGGTTTTTATTCCTGTGCTTCCCCTCACTGATTTGAGAGGTGGCCCCTCTTTTGAGCAAGTACCTCCTATGATATCTGTTCCCTGTCTATAAAAACGGGGGAGTGGATGGCAAGGATGGCTCTGTTCCACTCAAAAAAACTGAAAGTTTTCCAGTCTCTGCTCTTGTCACTGTTGGTTGTGGCTGAACGTCATTATTTCTGATGTCCAGGGAAGACTTGCAGGTGCATAGGCAGTTTAGAAAAGGTGGCAGCTTGAGATCAACAAAAGAAATCATTAGAAGAGGGTGGTAATAGTGCATCTCCTGCTTCCATAGCCTGTCCCCACTGTTTCAATTAGGAAAATCTGACTTTGAATCTTTTCCAAGTCTCATTTCTCTCTCTCCTCCCACTTCCCCCCCCCGCACCCCCCAAAAAAAAAAAAAAAAGTTTGTTGAATTATTTAGGTGTTAAGAAAATAGCAAAACCTGAATTCTTCATTTCAGAGGAAAGGAATAGAAAACGATGAATGAGCTACCTCAGGTACTAGAAGCAATCTAATCACATTAGTGCAGTGCTCTGCCCAGGCTAATTAATCCTGCTGAACAGCAAGCTATTGGTGTTGGTGGAGCACCATACTAATGCAGCTGTGCCGTTCTTGTACAAGGTAGCTAGCTTGGAAACTGTACATGTTCTTGTTCAGAGCTGTTTGGACATGCTTTCAGGATAAAAGCCTGTGGTAAACAGCAATCGATGACCAAAGAGTATAATCATGCAGTGCTCCAGAAACTTTCACATCTCTCAACTGTTGCAGTCATCTAGTAGAAGTACTGGAGAGGAGAATTTTATTCATTGATTCTACGGTCATTCCTGAGCACTAGTCCTTTGAGTGCAACAGGACAACAATTACAAGTCAGCAAAACAGACTCTCCAGCTGAAGATTACTTCATGCTGTCTTTTTATAAAGAACTGAATTCAGATTGCATTGACAGGGTGAATTCTGGAATGTCCGAAGTCCTCAGTATTTATTTGGCTTGTTTAATTGTTTTTTTTTTTTTTTGTTTTTTTTTTTTTTTTATGGTGGCTTTTATACAGTTTAGTTGGAAGTTGTTAGGTTAAGCAAGAAGTCTCAGTAATGTTGCAGGGAAGTTCAGAAGTATCTGGAGGAAAGAAAGCGTGTGAGCATGGAAGTAAAGCACGAATCAGAGATCTAATATGCACTTGACATTGCAGTACTTGGGTGTAATCAGAACTCTCTGATAACAAGGAGGAGTGATGGCAAAATTATATGAGGTGGCTCGCTGCTAAAGGGTGGTTGGCCCCTTGTGCCTTCCTGCATTGCTTTCCTACTGCCTGGTATCTTGGTGCTGTTGCTCAGAGGGGTCCAGTGCCAGGCTGGAGGCAGATTCATTTCCTTTTGGTAATTTTTATGGAACAAGGTGAGCTCACTAATACTTACTGCCATCAAAAGAGGAGGGGAGGTCTCTTCTTAGCACTTTTGACTGCCTTCTCCCACTGTGTGTTTTGCATTATTTTGCCTTGATTCCACTGTAGCCTTCCATAAGCTGCTTCAATTCACTAAAGCAGCAGAAATCTGTCAAAGCAAGGATGTTGGATAGTTTTCTGCCATGTTGGTGAGTTAAAGGGCTTAATGGAAGGGTTGACTTGGTGCTAGTTTTGGCTGTGGTGAGGGAACTGTACTATGTGGATGAAAAAGGTACAAAACTTGTTTCAGTAGCCTTCTT